AAAACCGACCGCAAACCCCCACCCCCATCCCAAAGGGGGAAGGGGAAGGTGAAACCGGGAACAAAAGTTGAGCCTGGGAAGAAGGGAGGGGTGGGGGAAGGTGTTTTGATTTTAAGATCTGGTTGTATCTCCCATTGTTCCACTCTGATGTTGGTAAGAAATTAAAATTGTTTTGTTTTTCATTCCTTATGATGAGTCTGGCTTTTGCCTGTGACCTGTTTAAGTGGTGAGAAGCCCTCCCAGTCCTTATTTTGACTAGCCCTTTTTTGGGCCATTGTGGTGCTCAGTTATGCACTGGGCCTAAACCATGACACAGGCTGACGGTCAAGGCTGTGACCTGCTTGACCTCTACTAGTGATTTTGGGGCAGTTCTAGCTTTTGAGGGAATTTCTGCTGAGCTAATGCAAGTCCCGGTGCTGTCACACGTGTGTGGCACTCAGAGCAGCACTCGTTGTTTGGTGAGAGCATTGTTTTCAAGGGTTGTGAATTCAAAGCTTGCTTGTGCCAATCCCTGCCTGCAGACACTTCTCTCTGGTGCAGCTTTGCAGTGTTCACACGCTGCACAACTAGGATTGGGTTTGGAACCGAAATACTAATTTATGTGCACTTTTAGATGGCTTAATTATTAGCATGTTCTTGGGAGTGCTTTTTAAAGTGGCTCAAGGTTAGAGTTAATAGTTTTTGACACTTTGGATAAAAATTTGTGAGAATTTAACGCTGCTGAATGGCTTCTGCACATTTCCCTAATGAGGTCACCTTCTTAAAGGTGCACACATGCCTTGTTCCTGTTAGTTCCTGCGTGGTGTTTAGTGTCACAGATCCTTCCTGTTTTTGTGTCTTTGTTTTGGGGTGCAGGGGTGCTCGATGCTGTTGGTAAAGAGAAGCAGGAAGATACTTCCACGTTGCAAGCGATGAGGTTCTGGTAAGAAACACTGTTCCTCCAAATTACGTCAGGAGGAAGTTTTTTATCCGCTGTTACACTTATTATTGAAATAGGGGGAATGTTCCCCACCCTGTACCACTTACGTTTAGTATTCTCCTCTGTAATAAAATATGTGCAAGTGAAAATCCATGTAGAAAGATAAGTCAGGTGGGAAAGGGTGTTCTGGTGGTGGTGGAGCCAATCTTGGAGCACCTTCTCGCCATGGGTGAGTTTCTTCCATCAAGTTTTCCCCCTCTGCTGAGCAGAAACAGCTGGAAGGTGCCATCATCTCCAAATCCTGCTTCCAAACCTGTTTTAAGTACTTTGTACATGTCAGCCTTCAGTCCCCTCCTGCAGGGGTATGCATTAGATTCAAGTTTCTAAATCTGATAGCTACATAATGTTGAGTAACCAATAGATTTAAAAAAATACATACAAAAAAGTATATATTTCTGGGAATTTGATAAGATAGATGTACAAGAAAAATGAGTTGTTCACCCTACTCAGTACCTGGTTGATCATACCCCGTGTATGGTTTCTGAGCATTTCCTTGTCGTTTGTAGGCTGAATGTGTTCAACGTGCCCGTTTATGGCAGCACGGTTCATCCGGATTCCTTGCAGCAGTTTTTCAGACACACCCTGACCGAGGTTCTCACCTACAACCCGCTGTGGAAAGGTAGGAACAGGCGGAGAAATGGGTGTCTCCAGGGTGCGATGTTGTGTGTCTGCAGCTCCATGCCACTCAGGCTGCACTGGATGGAGCCCGGCCTGGGGGACCCAGAGAAGCTGCCTGACTCCCAAGCTCTTTCCCAGGGGCTGCACAAGCAGGGTGTCAGATTAGACCCAAAAAATATTATCTGGGCTTTATAGGGCTGTAGTTCAGGAAAAAACTTTAGGTGCCTTCACACAGAGTTTCACCTAATGGCTTGTAAACAGAAATTTGGAATAGCATCTAATAGCAGCCTTTACAGAGCAGGGGTGGGAGAGCTCTGGCCAAAGGAGAAACTGAGTGGGAGAGGTGGTGCTGCAGAGTCTGACCCCTGTGTGTGTTTGGGTTTAAGCACAAGACATGTCCTTTCTCTGCTGACTGGGTGGTAGATGAAAGGCAGGAAGGCTTGTAATCCATGACTGGTAATTGTGAAGCTTGCTGTTTTTAGGAAGAAATCTGTTTGGGCTAGAGAATGTCTGGTAAAGTGACTCTGAGCGATGATCTGGAGCTGTTGTGTGGGAGAGCTGTGGCTTTGCTGGCTTCCAGTTGAAAGAGACGATTGTGGAGTGCAGCAGCACGGTCCTTATTGCCACAGTCCCATGTTCCAAAGGCGAATGAGGGAGAGGATTTCAGCAGTTGGGTTTTTAATATATCAGACTTCAAAGCCAAAGTTCATCTTGTGTGGTTAAGTTGTGTGTTTTGGGTGTATTTTAAAATCTATTGCTGAAGAGTAAACTTCTTTTACAGTGTCTGATGCTGTCCACATGCAGAAAGAGTGGAGCTTTACGAGAACATGTTTGCTGCTCACCACCTTGTATCGCAAAGTATGTCTTCCTGGGTTCCCAAAGAGAGCTTTGCCATGGTGGTTTATGTTCAGTGAAATATCTGAAATGAGATTATTTAAAAATGGGGTGTTCCAGTGGCAGCGTCTGAACCAGCTGCCAGGAATTGTAGGCAAGATGAAGCATGAAGGAGAAGTTCTACTTCTGTGCAACTGGGACTTTTGAAGAAAAAGGGACTTTTGTGCAAAGCTCGTAATGAGAACAAAGATTGTCATTGAAGATGTGAGGTTTTACTGTCACAGAATATGACATGACTTCTGAAATAACTGGAATATTAAATGTTGAATTTAACCCATGCTGGTTCCAAGCCAGAATGGTATCTGGCACTGGAAAGCTGGTGCAAACGATGCACGGAGGGTAGCTTTTTCACCAGTCACACACAAAACATTTGCATGTTAATCTTGCCAGTGTTTTTCACTCCTAGGGGTGGCTGTGTGCCGTAGCTGAAATGAATTGCTATCACTCTTCCAGCTGTTGGTGGCATTGAATGCAAAGGAGTTGGTCTGCCAGCTGCAGCAGGTCCTGGAGACACATGAAGTGAACTGGCAGCACGTTCTGTCCTGCGTCTCCACGCTGGTGATCTGTCAGCCTGAGGCAGAGCAGCTGTTCAAAGGTGAGAGGGTAAGGGCAGGCCTGCAGGATAACCTGTGCTGGTTACTTCTCAGTTTCTTACTGATTATCTCATTGCTGCACTCCCTGCAGTTCTTGCAGGTTGAAATCCTAAAGTATTTGACCGTTGAAAGCACACGAGAAAATTTAAGCGAGTCCCAAAGGTTCCCCAAGCTGCAATAAACATCCTTCTTTATGTGGCAGATGTTTTATCACAGGGATTTGTCTTCATTTACTGTAGGAAATTACAGCACACTTGTCAAGAGCAAAGTTTAAGGTTATTGGTGTATGTTTCTAGATCTCCTGAGCCATCTCCTGATAAAGGCCTTTGAGAATTATGATATGGAAAACATGATCACTGCGTTCCTGATAGCTCGTCAGGCTGCTCTGGAGGGCCCCGCTGTCTTCATGCCGTATGCTGAATGGTTTAAGGTAAGAGTAAACGAGGCCAGACTGGTAATCTTTATTTTAGGTGTGTGAGAAACCTGCACATAAGGAGTGTTCTGCTGCACAGTGATAACCTAGATTCAGACAAGACAGCCAGGAGATGGAGAGGGGAGGGATAAATAAGAGTAACAAGTGATTGTATTGATATTAGGAATGATTTAATATTTATAACTGCCTTCATGTCTGCAAAGAATGTATTTAGTTGGCTTTCTCTGGTCTTTCATCTTTTAAGTCTATCTTGCCTTCTCTAGTTACTTCTCAGGAATGCAGACGTGTAATTCCTATCATCATCATCATCTTGGATGTATTTCAGTATCTTGATAACCAACACTGTTGTTGTTGCAGAAGCTGTGGGCTAGTGCAGATGAAGCATTCCTATTTCCTGGATGTTTGCATGCAGCTGTAATTGCCGTGTTTGACCTTATAGATAATTGGCTGTTGGCTTTTAATTGTAAACATGTAGGTATTTTAGGCATGCAAATCTCCGCGTAATTTAGACCTGTGTGAGTTTGCAAATCTAAGCTCAGTCTTTGCTGACAGTGTTCAGGATGTATCAGAAGGCACAGTTGTGTTCTGTATAGTCTGCCTGGATTATTTTCCCTGTAATGCCCAGATGTGGAAAGTGGCAGCTTTGTGGGTCCCTCATGAATCCCAAACCTTTGGTGCTTTTTGCTGTTGCCTTGTGTAACTCCTCTGAGTGTTCCCATAGTAAGTAGCATATCAGGATGAACTCTGCGTGTGGCATGGCAGGCTTTCTGGAAATGGGACAAAGCAACTCAAAGAAAACTTCTGTGGAGACTTTTGTAGCCTTTCTCTTGAGACTTTTCTCCACAAATACTATTTTCTCCACAAAGCAGATATCTGATGGATGTCTGGGGTTTGTGCGCTGAGTTTAGCGCAGTGCTGGGATGAGAACTCTCTCCATGCCTTTCAAGGCTGCGTTGTTGCTTCCCCTGTTTCAGGCATCCTTTGGGAGCACTGGTGGTCACCACGGGAGCAGTAAGAAAGCTCTGGTCTTCCTCTTCGAGTTCCTGTCAGAGCTGGTGCCCTTTGAAGCGGCGCAGTACTTGAAGGTGAGAGGATGCCAATAGAGGTGGTTTTCTGATACAAAACACTTCCAAAGTGAAGCACCTGAGCCTTTGACTAGGCTCAGCTTATTTTTATTGCTATTATAGTAATTGCATTATGTGTCTTTGACTAGGCTCAGCGTATTATTAATGTTGTTATAGTAACTGCATTACTTCTGATTCATTATTCAAACCTTTTCTTCCCGAAGTAAGGAAGTGCAAGATTTATTTACTAGGCAAGAAAGCAAATCCCTTTCATGGAGTTACAGAATCACAGAATATTAGGAGTTGGAAGGGACCTTGAAAGATCATTTTGAAAGAGTGATCACTCAGAAAGAGTTAAATTTAAGCATTTCAGTGATTTTGTTTGTTGTTGGGAGAAATTGCATGTTGGCTGCCATGAAAATGGCTTATTTTTAAAATAGAAGTAACATCTTCTTTGGGGAATATTTGCCTTAAGTGACTGTAAACATTAATGAGAATTTCACGCTGATTTCCTGTAAGAATGGCAAATCTTCTGAGTGTTGTATTTCAGGTCCATATAATGTACCCGCCTTTTGTGCCCACAAAACATCGGTCTATTCTCTTGGAGTACATCACTCTGGCTAAAACCAGACTGGCCGACCTCAAGGTTGGTAAGAGTTGTCCCTTGGAAAAGAGTTCTTGCTGGATCTGTCAGAATACTGTGTTGTGACCATGGGCATCTCTCTGTAACCTCACACAGGTTGCCATAGAAGATATGGGGCTCTACGAAGACTTGTCTTCCACAGACGACTCTGTGCAGGTACCACTGGTCTGTCAGCAGTTTTCTCATCCAATACACCCCATTTCCTCTGGGGAAGAGCTGAGGTTTTCTGTTTGTCTACCATTCCTACCAGCTTTCAGCATGCTGCCAAAACTTCAGCTTTAAGACAGAGAGGTTAGCAGCCATAAGTATGCAAACTCTCCTCAAAATTAATGAAACTTAGGCTTACACTGAGGACAAGCAGCCTGTGATGGGTGTTCTGTGGTGGACTGCAGAGGAACTTAGCAATTGGCTCCCAATGATTTGATCACATAACAAAGCATTTTATATATATTTATTATTTTCAGTACAGCATGTCATCTATTTGGTGCTGTATTCAAAGTATTGATATTTAAAGGAGGTTTGGGGAGGGAATCTACAGTCTCTAGTTTCATGCTGTGGTTCATGATAAGTTTTGGCTAACAACGGTAAGTGATAGGGAAGCATTTGGCTCTGTTGCTCCTCCCTGTGTATTGACCACAAGTGTGGCAGTCCAGGGGGGCTCATTTCTGCAGGCAGTCAGCTGGAGTACACGAAATGCAGGCTGGTGGTGGGGCAGTGGCATGTACTGCAATGAAATCAATCCTGGGATGAACTGGAAGTCGTCAGTGATGACTTCATTTAATTTCTTCCAGGTCTGATCTGTTTGTCAGTGGAGAAACTGGAAGGGTTGTTGCAGTCATACGATGTCTTAGGTCTCAAACAAGGGAAACCCAGGGTGGCAGTCCCTCTGCCTGGAGTGTAGTAGCACGGGCTGGAAGCGAATATTATGAGTCTTAATTCCAAGTATATGAAGTAAAATAGAATAACAAATTACAACTAACAGCCCTGTCGAGGCAGGCTGGTGGTTCAGGCCTGGTTTCTCCATCCTGCAGTGTTACTCTGCATATCAGGTAGTTCTTGTTATTCAATTATGTTTGTTCAGTCGCTTCCCTTCACAGCCCAGACAGCTGTTCCTAACTCTGGGAGAGCAAGTAGGCAAAATTATCATCATCCTTGATTTCTCACAACATCTTTCTCTCCTTGTTACTTGTGTGAGGCAGCCCCAGGGCCAGGCGCTCCGGGACGTTGAAAAGGCCCTTCAGATATTTGAAAACACAAGGAAGATCCCAACATCTGTGATAGAAGCCAGGTACTATGTGCTTCTCAACACTGCTTGTTTTCAGCTATAATAATAATATAAGCCAAGTCCAAATTAAAGTAACAAGACAAGAGGAATTGAGGATGTGAGCAAAGGAGGTTTTGGGAAATTCTTCTCATGTTCTCCACTTCCTCAGTAGTCACCCAAGCTATTTGTGCAGAGAGCAAAAAGGCACATACACCCTATTGTTACAATAAATAAAAAGCAGATTTAAAGAAATGAATAACTGTTGACCAATCTGAGCTTGATTTGTCTGTGGTTATTCATGTTTCCATGAATATTTCTTATTTGGAGAAGCCAAATTAATTCTTCAGGTAATAAAATCCACTTTGCAGCTTTGGCATTGTTAATATTTTGCTGTATTTCTTTTCTGTCCCAGTATTTTCAGGCGACCTTATTACACTTCCTGGTTCCTTCCAGCTTTGCTCAGGCCACGTGTGGTTAGTATTTGGTTTTGGCTTGTTTTTTTGATCCTCCCATTTAGATGTGTGTTTGTAGACAGGTCACTGGTGCCTAACCTGCCTGTTTTTCTGTTGCAGCTCCCTAAAACCCCGGATGTGCGCATGGCTTTTATAGATTCCTTAAAGAGGTATTGAGACTTCCCTGGGTTAACTTGCTGTGCTTCTGGACCTCAGGACACTTGACTTTACATCTGATTATCAGAGGCTTTAATGCCTTGTTTACAAAACGCTGAATGTTGTTGAAAGGCTCCTCTCCCTTTATGGGAGAAGGGGAAGATGAAACCGAAATGTGCATTAATGCTTTATGAGCTGTTTGTAAGGGACAGCAGTAAATGTCTCAGGAGAACGCAGCCCCTCTCAGAGCTGTGTGTGTTTAAAAGTGCTTTTCTGCATTGCAGAACCAGCTTTATTTGAAATGCAGTAATTCCTCTGTAACTGATCGTGAAGAAAAATGTTTGCAACACTGCCTTACAACTGAGGCATTCAGTCCTGCCTCGTCATTCCAGTCTGACTCTAAAGACTGCATCATTTTTTTTTAAGTTAAAGATGAAGGAGAAGCAGCTGAGCTCTGGGGAGCCCCACGTAATGTGTCCTTAGTGTGGAGTGCCTGCTCAGCAAGGTCAGATTTGGGTCTCCATCACCGCAGCGTTTTAGATGTGATTCTGCATGGTACATAAGTGAGGCTCTTCTGTCATTTTAGACATGTGCTATATAGATGAAATAGGTATTAATGCATGCATTAATATATATATTATTGATTTTGTGTGGTGGTACACATGTGTAATACTTGCTATGATAGCCCTGCATATACATTTCTGGCCTTCATGTCAGATGATGATTAAAAAAATGCCCTGTATGCTTTGGAGCCTCTAATTACACTTCATAGCGTAGCTGTTTATGCTTAAATTAATAAAGCTGAAGTTTGAATGTGGTTATGTGGTATAATAAATGTCTCTTTTTATTATTATTATTACAGAGCTGATAAAATACCTCCCAACTTGTACTCCACATATGTGCAAGGCTGTCGTGCTATGAAAGAGAAAACGTTGCAAGGTAAAAAATACAACATTTACTTATGGATCAGCTTGAAGAAAAGTTAATATTTCCTTTGATGCCCTCTGGAATTGAAAGATTTCAAAAAGCTATGGCTAGTTAGGTCTTTAATCTGTGCATAAATACGTGTCTGTTCTTTAGGTCTTACTGAGATGTGAGGTGGTTTCTCTCGTAACGACTTTCTCTGCTGGGGTGGGATTTGTGTAGTCCATGCAGAGCTCTGTGCTGAGGCTGCAGATGATGCCTGAGCTGGCTGATTTAAATCTGGCTCGGATGCATCGCCATGAATCAGCGTTTGCAGCTCCAATGCTTCTCGACTCCGGCTCGCCAAGGGTGTGAACCTGCTGTGTGGTCTGAACTCCCCGTCATCCCCTTTGAAGAAGGGATTACTGTGTGTGACTGAGATCTGGGGAAGCAGGAGGGGCTCGGGATGGAGCAGGAACGGGATTGCAGTGTGGAGTTTACATGTGTTTGGGTGGGAGGGCTCTGCTAATTTCAGGTCCCGTCACTGTAGCCACGTTACTGGTGCAGTGCGTGTCAGCATCATAGATATTTAATGAGCTCTCTATCTCTTTCAGCGAGTGGGCGTTTCAGCACGTCTTAAAATGGGCAATGTCGTCCCCACGGGTTTATATGAAATGAAAAGGCTGGGGTAGTGAGCCAAGAGCATTCCCAGAGCGTGGTGGAGATAAATGTACTCTGTGTACAGAGAGAGATCTGTAACTGACTCCTACTCGGGGCACTTTGGGTGTTTGCAGCTTTCTGGCGACGCTGTTGCTGGAGAAGCGTGACCGAGCAGTTCGGGGAAGCGCAGATGTGCAGCAGCCTGGCTGCGGAGGTTGTCCTGGCAACCGAGGGATGAAGGATGCAGGGATGGGCAAGATCCCAGCGGGCAGCCAGAGCTCTGCAGGAGCCCTTGGATTGCCAGTGACCTCTGCTGGCACAGCCTGAGCCATGTCCCCTGCACCTGATTGCTGTCCCCTGCCACCCCCTGCATCCTGATCCCCGTCCCCGCATCCTGATCCATCCCCGGGGCTCTTGCAGAGACAGGATTAGCAGGACCTTAGCAGGACCAGCTGGCACAGCCTGAGCCATGTCCCCTGCACCTGATTGCTGTCCCCTGCCACCCCCTGCATCCTGATCCCATCCCTGCATCCTGATCCATCCCCGGGGCTCTTGGAGAGACAGGATTTAAGGCAGGACCACATACTGGTCAGCTCTAAGCCTGTCCTGTCCCTTAGCACTCACCCTTACACATAAAGGTGACTCAGCAGCCTCCTAACACCTTGTTGCTATATAGCATGTGTATAGCAAGTATTAATTTTGACCTTGTTATTTACTTCTCGTGCTCATGGTTGAGTTATTTCTGGCCAGCGTACGAGGCGCTGTTCCTGTCTAAGGAACAGTATGGGTGGTTTTTGGGGCTGTGCTCTGGCAGCTTGTTGCTGGTGGCACTCTCTTTCTAGTGGTGAAAGGAATTTCCTTTTGTTTCTTCTGTTAAACAAAAAGCAGAACAGAGTAGGAGATGCCGCATGGTGTTGGCTTGAGGAGGAGCTGATGAGGCAGTATTCTCGCTGTGCTGTCTGTGTCTGCATTTTGAGTCTGGCTCTGGTCTTTTGAGGACAGCAAACGTTTCTGTGAGGGGCAGAGAGCTAAAGCAAGTAGGAAGAAAACTCTGAGAGGGGAACTGTTTCACCTCTTGTCTTTAAACACTGAATTCCTTTCTGCAACTAAGCATTAACTCATAAATGATTAATCAAATGCACATTTTGAATGTAAAAAAACAAAGCTGTATATGTGGCAGATTGACAGTTTGGGGATTTGTTGCTTATAGAAAAGTAAATACTGCTTTTACAGCAAATGTACGCAGAGGTTGCTGAATGGACTTTATGAAGCTGAGGATAATGGGTTGCGTTTCTCTTGTGCAGATGAATCCAAAGTAGACACCGGCCATTCCAAAGAGCCTGTTGAGCAGCTGAAGGCTGCACTGGCTGAGCTGAGGGTGCTGATTGTGGACCAGGCTAAATACGAAGGTATGCAGGAAGACAAGTTTATAACTACTCTTAATTGGCTGTTACAAAAGCTTCATTAATAAGATGTGGCTAATGCTAGCCAAAGCAACTGCAGTAGTCACTTGCCACTGGTAGCTGGAGATTATAATCTTTCAGATCTGTATAATCCTTCCAGCTATAAATGCATATATTTTAATGCCTGACGTATTTCCCGTGCTTGAGTTTGGAACTCCAGGTCTGCGTTTTCGTAATGATCACTCGGTGCCGCACTGATCTTTGCCATTCCTGGGGCTCGCCTGGCGACTTGGGCCTCATTTTTAATGCTGTTTCCTTTCTGGTGTGAAAAACTATTTTTGGTGTGTGCTGGTAACAGCACTGGGGAAAAAGTAATGCTGTCTTCTGAAATGAAGATGATGATCACTGTGTTCTGGCTAACATTTTTTGCTCGTTAAAGCTTTTCATAGCACACTCTGGGCTCTGATCAATTGCAGTGTATATTTCACTTGTTCTTCCTGCTCTGTGCAGTTGTAAATCTTTTATGCCTTCTGTCCTGGTTCACCTCTTCTCCTGTTACCTTCCTGCAGATGTGCCAGCACAGATTGCAGTGATTTCAGACAGACTCGCGAGCATCTTGGGTCACAGCAGTGAGGATGAAGCTGCAGCTTTGAGTGCTCCAATCCATGTTGACATTTCTGCCCCCAGGCTGGAGCTCGGCCATCAGAGTGTGAGTAACGTCTGGCTGGGGTGAGAAACGAGGTACAAATGCATCTGGGCCGTACCTACGTGTGAAAGGGTGCTCTGTGGAGAACAGGAAACACTTCTCCTTTGGTCCACCTTGTGCACAGACTGTTCATATGCTTAAACTTCCTGGAAGTTGTTGGATGTGTGGTGGTGAGATCTAGAGATTTATTCTATCAGAGCAATCCTGTGATGGGCGAGGCTTGCTTCACCAGGCTTGTCTGGAGATTTGTTACGTGCTGGGATCACTTCTGGGCTATTACAGCCTTAACTTTCCATCTCTTCTTCGTGCCAGTGGACCTGTATAACTTGCAGTGACTGTCATTAAACAATTTGTCTCCTTGTTTTAATATCAGGACACATAATATATAGGCAGCACCAAACTAGATCCAGATATCTGTCTCCAAGCAGGAATCAGCAGTGTGTTTCTTATTCCAGGTTGTTGATCTTCTGCTGACATCATTCTGCCAAAACCTAATAGCTGCTTCCTCTTTCAACCCTCCTGACAGGTAAGATGTGAGTAAAAGAGTAGAGAAAACAAAACTAACTCGTACACTAGAACTCCAATACTTGTGTAGGGGCGAGGAGAGACTTCTGGTTGTTCATACCCACTGTGCCAGGCTGGCAGCTGCAGGCTGCTTTATTCTGAGTTTCTGTAATCTAAGAACTCACGCGCTTTGATGTATATCTGTAAATAAACCACGCTTCTCCTCTGTTGTTACTGATCCCTTCAGATAAAGGTGGCATTTAGCTCTGCTTTGTGCTCTGTGACAAAGTATAAAAACTTTCCATGAATCCTACGTGCTCAGGCTGGCATTTCCAGCTCAGTGGTAGGGGCTGGGGAATGAAGCAAATGACAACCTGTGCTGAAAAGCAGCTGTGATAAACATGAGCAGCCCAGGAAATGATTTCTAAACCCATTTCCTCATCCAGTCTCCTCTGAGGATGTTTATTTTTCCCAGTCAGGTGGGACAGTCCTTCCCTCTCTCCTTTTCTCCCTTTTACAACAGGACCTTGTCCTACCAATTCCTCTTTGTTCTTGCTTTGTTTTTTGATCCCATTTATTGCTCTGCCTTTGTTTACCCTCTGAAAAAAAGCTGTCAGTGCCCCAGGCAGCGTCCTCCTCTCCTTGTTGTCAGCTCAGAACACTTCTTTGAGTGTTTATATTATCATATATCGTATATTATCATACCACTTTATATTATCAAGTATTTGAGGTAGGGCACTGGTGGAGTTCATGGCTTTGTAGGGGTCCCCTATTCAGACACTCCAAAAATGACACTTCCTTTGAGCCTATAAACGGAGTGATAATTGTCCCGTATTTACAGACAATTATTGCTCAAGGTGTTTAACCATTTTTAAATACCTCTTCCTGCACTGGGGATAAAAAGAAGCAGTAAAATGAGCGTGTGGTTTTTACCTTCTGCAGGCAGGGGCCATGTCTCTCCTTGTTTGTGAAGATGATGTGTGGACACAGGAATCTCTTACCTGCGCTCCTGGGCAGGCTCTGCCAGCTTATTTATCATCAAGTGAGTTTTCCAGCCACAAATCATATGGTTATAGTGTGCTCGAGGCTATCCCAGCTCCATTTCCTGAGCTGTGGGGCAGGTGCCTGTCTGGACTGCACAGTGGAGCGACTTCACTGGCTCTCAGCCTTCCAAAAAATCTCATTTCAGTCAAGTAGTATGGACTTGCTCTTAGGAATGTGAGCTGGATGTTTTCCTACAGAAATACTACTGTGGAAGGTTAATGAGATACACTTTAACGATGCTAAAATAAGAAAGCTTATGAACAGAGCCAAAAGAAAAAATAGTAGAATGCTTAATTCCTAAACTTCCACACTGAATGATTCAGTTGTACACCCCTTTAAAAAATACCCCCCCCCAAAATCTGGGGTGCAGCAACGTATGGCTTTCTTTTAAAGATCTGTTGGCTTTATTTCCTTTACCCCGTGATATTGAAAAGGTGAAATTAAAAGGTGGACAGGCTAAATGAGCTGTCACAAAAGCTAAAAAGTCCTGAGAGTCTCAAGTTCTGCTGGGCTGAATATACAGCCAGGTCCTGTGTTACAGAAACGTACACATTTTGCTGCAGGTTGACCAGATAGCTGCACAATTTCAGGGAAGAAAGAACACGTTTGATGTAACTGATGCCTCTCCTCTGCTAAATTGATAGCACTGCACTAATTAGTCATTGGGCAGAAGCAGTGTTCTGCTACTTGGCTAATTCTGAGGTTTTTTCCTCCTGAGAAAGGTTTTTTTTGTCACAAATTAAATGTCTCTTTTCATCTCTTTACTTATGTTTGGCTTGCAGGGTCCTTCCCTGAACGATGCTCATATTTTAGGATTGGCAGCTTTTGTGATCCACTTAAGCGAATCCAGAGCTTTAATTCCTGAAGTGGAAGCCAATTTTGGGACTTCTCGGCCTGTTCCTGAAAAGGTCCTTTCCATTTCCGAGTACTGGGACCGCTTGCTAGCGTGCAGGACAGAGGAGTCCTTCACCTTCTGCGTGAGGTGAGATCCTGCATCAACCGCATCCCTGCACATCTGTAGGTGTTTGTGCTGGTGATAGTCCCATGTGAAACAGCACCGTGGTGATGGTACTGCCTGCTGGAAAAGGGACTGACTGGACGCTGCCAAAAGGCTTTAGTTTAGTATCTGGTTCTGAAATTTGTGCTATTAGTGTATTTGAGGCTGGCAGCACATGAATAGAAATGGTCCCAAAAGCAAAGAGGTTTGGGACATGTTGGTTAAAAGCATTTTTAACACTCAGTCTTTGTTCTGACTTTGGACACTTGTGAGTGGGAAAAGATGTGGTTGAGCCAACCAGGTAACAGAGTTCTTTCTTTTTCTCTACCAGGTTTTGCACTGCGGCAGCATCTTATCTCATGTGCAAGTTTTCATCCTATTCTAATGAAGATCTGTGTGCCTTGCTTCCTCCCAGCCTTCTTAAAAAGGTAAAAGGAAAACCATTTTGCTATTACTTATAAGAAAGATCAGTCTAAGTTCAATGTCCTGCTGCAGACTCCTGTGCAGCTATAAGAAAACAATATAGAAATGCATCTTTGTACCCTCCCACCTTACCATCTTGTGTATTTGCTTGTTTGGCAGTGTCACACAACCACAGGTTGTGCAGGGTTTTTATGCCTTTGTTTCAGCTGCAGTACATTGTGCCACGGCTGTGCTTGGAAGCTCGGGGAGCTCTGTGTGAGGAGGGCAAAGCTCACCTGGTCTGGAGTTCCCTGTCCTGCCCTTCTCTGAACTACAAAAGAGCCAGCCTCTGTCTATGGAAACAAGCGCGCTTTCAAGAGCTGCTGAAGGAAAAAGCATTCCAGGTATAGACCTTCTTCACGACTTCAGTGCACGCTGTAATTCTCATGTTTCAGATCCACCCTCTGCAGTTTCCTTATTGGTGATAAAAAGCTGCTTGTAAAAACTGAATGCCTGGGAAGCTGCTCTGAGGGTTGGCAGATGTTACGTGTGCTACGTTGTGTGCTCAGTGTTATTTGTAGGTTTTGATGGCGGTGATAAGACAGAAATAGAAAATGAAAGGTAAAGCTTTTGTGTCCTATTTATTGTAAAAGCAGAAAGCTTAAGAAGATAAACCATATCAGGAAGAAAATGGTCATGAACTGTAGAGAAAAGGCCTGTCCATAGCCTTAGCTTCCTGCTGTTACTGTCTATGAAGTCAAGTAACAAATACTTGCCTGCTTTTTTTGGTGCTTTGTCTAAATGTCAGAGTTCTCCCGAACCACCTGTGTATCTCAGGTTGTTCGGCTCTGCTCTGCTGTGAAGCAGGTTAACGTCTCGGATATTCTCTTTATACCGCCCTTCTAATGTATCTGACTTGACAGGATTTCTTTTTCTAGCCCAGTTCATAAAAAAGCAGTTTGTCTTTGTGCAGTGGGGTTTGTCGTGTTACTGGAACGACTCCTTGTGCTGATGTACAAGGCTAAAATACCTTTGCGGTCTAACCTTTCCTGGATGCTTACACCAGTCAGCCTGACTATGGTGCTTTGTTCATCTTAGCATTTATTTCTGATAACATATGTTCATCCTGGTAGCTAGACTTTAAGAAGACAAGCATGTTTGGAAATGTCAAAGGAGTGGGTGTGTGGGGGTGTGTGTGAGAGAGATGCTTTATAGGCTTGCTTTCAGTAAATTTTTGAATGCCAGCAGGGTTTTAGTTTAGATTTCTTGCAAGGGAAACAGCACAGGAACTTCCTTGGGTTGGTGTCTCCTGTTTTGTGTCTCTTAATCTGCATGGGATTGTGTCTGGGTGTGGGTGCAGGTGGGTTTATGCTGGGAGGAAGGTGCCTGTTCTGCACAAGTTACTTGCTGTGCTGGTCTGCCCTCTTGCCTAAATCGTTGCTTTCCCAGTTGTCTTTCAGGGAGTGGCTGCTGCTGGAGCTGGCAGTGTACCCTGAGAAGGATATTCTCCCTGCTTCAGAGAGGTCAGTGCAGAGGGGTGCTGTTAGAAAGGGAATGGTTAAAGAGCCTTTCCCAGTCAAATAGGGAATAAGCAGTGAAGATCAAGGAGTAAATAAACAAGGTTCTGTGGAGTGCGAATGCCCGTTATCTACTATGGTTTGTCCAGAGTTCAAGCAATGCTAGTGAGCAAGGTGTGTGTTTAACTTGTGGAAGTTCACCAAGATAACCTCTGGCCTGCACTGATAACTTCTCACAAAACTCCCCATTCCCATAAGCAGGAGACAGCTGACATCAGGACGTGTGGTGATGGGGATGACTTTTTATATCTGTACTTAGCAGGGGTGCTCCTATCTGTCATTCCACGTGGTGAACTTCCTTTTACATTAAGGGCCCCATTAAAACGCTGTGATCTTCCTATCTTCTATTCAATATTGCAGGCAGGATTTCCACTATTGGGCTATCTATCAGTGGTATCTTCCAGCTCCTGCTGCTTCTGGTGGCTGTGACGGAGACCTGGAGAAGGCGTGTGCCATTACCATCACCACCATTCTGGATTTCTCACAAAGGTATTCTGTATTGTAACCTTGCAGAAGCAATGGTTCTGCTCCTGACCTTGCAAGCCTGGAGCTATGGGCTTGTACCTTACGTGGGGCTGTGTTTCCTTGAGTAGAAGTGGTTTCCTTCTCGCAGGCCTGGCTGGCAGGGAAAGCTGGGAGGTGGCTCTGCAGGACTCGCCAGTCTTTGCATGAGAATCTTGCTTTAGGTGATGGAGGTGTGGGGTTGAAGTCACAGATAGTCCCTAGTCTGCTGTCTCCTTATAAAGTTGAATTTATATTCAGCTTTGTTTGGCCAGACAAGCTCCAGTGCCCCTGAGGTAGTGGCTAAAGCTGGAAAATAAGGAGGGAGGGTTAGAGGAGAGGTGCTGTCTCACCTACAGCTTATTTAAGGAACATTAATGTTAGAGCTTTATGTTCTTCTGAACCCATTTGACTTTATTTGAATTGTGCTACCCTCCTGGGCTAACAGGATGAGTTACCTGGTGTGTCTCTTTAATTTCAGGTTGGACCTGGGTAGCTGTGGCCAGTCAAAGATGTCAGTCAACCCTGATATCCTCTGCAAGCTGCAGGTGATTTCAGACTTTGCTGCGTATCTGTATGTTCAATCCTTGAATTTAACCAATGAATTTCCAAATAATTTGGTGTATGTAAGGCTGACATTTGGCTCTCAGATGTGAGCAGTGGCATGGAGATTGAGAGGGAGGGATTTTTCTTATTGGTCCCTTTGCATTACTTCAAAGAAACATAAAATGTTGAATGCAAACTCATGTGTAGCCCTGACGAGCGCTGTTTTTCCCCCCACCTCCCTGTTTAGGAGATGGTGCTGGAGCTGAGGTGTAGGAGAAAGTTGCCTTCCAGCTGCTTGGATGCCCAGAGCCATTTCCTGTTTGAGATTCTCCAGAAAAGACTGAAAGACAGAAAAGAAGTCTCTGCTTTGGGTGAGCAGTTGTGGAGGCAGCAGGAGCTACTGCTGCACAGAAGGTAAATGCAGATCTGGATGGCTGGGAATGCCTCTCATAAAACTGCTGCTCGGAGCTGCTGTGTGCCTGCACAGCCTGGTAACCTCCCCTCTGATTCCACAGCAAGTGAAGATGATGCTCTGTGTCACAGAATGTGAGGAGTTGGAAGGGGCCTGGAAAGCTCTCCCAGACCAACCCCTGCCAGAGCAGGATCACCAGAGCAGTCACACAGGAACACGGCCAGGGCTTTGGGTGTCTCCACACAAGGAGACTCCACAACCTCTCTGGGCAGCCTGGGCCATGCTCCATAACCCTCACACTCACAAACTTTGTCCTCATCTTCCGCTTGAACCTCCTGTGCTCCAGCCTGGGACCACTGCCCCTTGTCCTGGCATTGGACATCCCAGAGCAGAGTCTGGCTCCTTCCTCCTGACACTGCCCTTTCCCAATGGATCCCCATGAATGAGGGCAGCCCTCAGTCTCCTCTGCTCCAAGCTCAAGAGCCCCAGCTCCCTCAGCTGCTCGTCAGCAGGAGATGCTCCACTCTCTCCATCATCTTTGTGGCCCTGCTGGACTCTCTTTCAAGCAAATGTGATTTAGCTGCATTTCAGTGTGTCATCTTGGGCTACAATTTGCCTCTGCCAGTAAAGTGGATTTCAAAGACATCTTCATGGACTCTGTTTACAACCAGGAACACTCTTAATGCCCCCACTTGCGCTAACAGTTGATAAATTACTCTTATTTGCTGGTGTAATCTAGGTGTGAGTTTCCATTTCTGAGCCATTGGTAGCATCCTTCATGGTGATGTGTGTATCTCATTGAAAGGCAGGTTCTTTTCTGGGCAACTGGGAGAATTCCTTGTGCAGTTTCTGTCGGCATGTTTGAGATATCTCAAGTTTGACATACTTTAAAACTCCACTGCATATCAAAGGCTCGTGCTCTGAGAGTGTGGAGTCTGATTCTCTTCTTGATGGTAACCTCAATTTTCTTCCTGTTCTTCCCTGTCTAAGAATTCTGGTTGGGCTCCCTGCATCTGCTCTGATCATGTTGTGTCGAAAAGGAAGGAGAATAATCTTGGACTGTGAAGACTTCTTTTGCTTTGTAAACTCAGAGCTGGTATGTGTTATTAGCCAGGTGGTAATGTCTTGTTGGTAAATGTCCTAGATAAAGACCTTAAACTTGGGTTTAGGACAGGAGTTAAAATGCAGCCAAACTTGACACAGACTTAGCTTATATCAGAGTGTAGGGAGGCTCAACTCATTACGTTCGAGACTTTTCAGCCCCTGGCTCTGCAGAGGTCCCCTCAGCACTGAGGGATGACTTTTGGGTTCATTTATTTGGAATTGTGATGGTGTTTTATGCAACTGAGAGAGGATGTGTAGGTAAATCTGGGCTGGAGCCAGCCAGCACAGCAGTGGTTGGAGCTGGAGTGTGTGGACAGTCCTGATCAGGGTGAAGTCACCAGTGGTTCAGTGATCACAGAGTAGCCTGGGCATCCTGCCTGTCCTTTCCAAGCCCTCCTGCACCATCATATTGGGCACAGCAAGAAACCTCTGTTCATTCCAATCCTGTTAATCAAACTGTGGCAAGCAGGGCCCTCTGATTTGCTTTCTAGCACTGCAATCTGAGCTGCCACTCAGGATCTCACAGGGTGATTCGCTGCTACCCGAGTCCTGTTGTGCCAGACACACAAAATGTTCAAAGAAAATCACCATTCAAAAGGAAAATAACGATTTTTTTTCCCTTTATTCTCTCCTTGTTTTCCCACAGAAGAATGTCTGTTCCCGAGGGTACGCCCTGTCCTACGACCTCACCGCTCACTTTTTCAGGGTAAGCTGCTGCTTTTCTCATTCTGCTCCACTGTCCGCGCTCGCCGGAGCAGGTATTCCTTTACCAGGATACCTGACTGTATGCTGTTCTTAGCAATGAGAAGTGCTATTTCTGCCCTTGTTTTGAGAATTGTGGGTGTAAATTCTAGGAAGAGCAGTAATCCAGGAAAGTGAAGAGGAGTAGCAGGAGGAAGTAGTGGTAGAGGTTAATTTTAATACAAGACAGCAAAGCTGGAGGGGAAAGGAGGAGCTGATGAGCACAAGTTTCTTTTGCTGGGCCATGCTGACCCCTACAGTTCTCCTGGATTAGTTCACACGTGGCTTGGTGAGGCACTTCAAAGCGGCAAAGACCTATGTGTCTGGTAACTTTGTCATTTATCCTCTCCCAGGGCCTGCTCAATGCCAGCTTGGACTGTGAAGAAGCAGCGGAAGGGGTCAACGCCGTTCTAACAGCGTGTCAAACCAAGTGTCCCATTCTGCTTCTCTCTGCAGCGGTAACTACTCCTATTGCATCTGAGGCAATGAAAATTGGGTACTGGTTCAGAGCGCTTGTTTGAAACTCCATTTAAAGTAAACTGTGAGGTGTGGGGGTGGTAATTCCTAACGCCTGTGGAAAACAGCAGAGTGTTTTACGTACCCTGGGTACCGCTGGTCCCAGCTCTGGGCATGCAGCCTGGTTTTTGGAGTGTCACTACACAGGAACAGAGGCTGCTTAAGAGAGAGAAGCTGGGAGTCTTGGCGTGGTTTCAGATGCACTATAGAGAGGGTCTGGTTGTTACATGCCCAGCAACCGAAAAGTCGTAAATCATAGTTGTTTGTTTTTTAAAAAATTTTCTTAGTTTTGTGTGTAACCTGATGCACTGTTCTACATGGGGATACGTGTTTTATTGCATGTGGTAAGTATGTACATCACCTGCGCAGAACAGGTCCTTTATTACGGGGAATTTCAGGGCACTATGATATGAACATGGTCACAAATGACCCTCTTTGTGTTTCCAGGTTGTGAAACCTTGTTTCTTACGTGTGTGTGTGTGCAACTTGGACTTTTTCATTAAGTATGGGGGAGAAAAAAACCCCTTTGTCTGCGTACCTGGCTGGAATAGTACACACACCTGACTGCAAACCACTACTGAGTGGGCCACCACTAATGCCACTGGTTTCTGTCTCTCTTCCCAGCTCTGGTGGCCGAGGTTGGAGCCGGTACTTTACTCGCAGTGGAAGAGGCTCTTTGGGTCCCCACTTCCAGAAGAACTGGAAAGGCTGCGGGAATGGCAGCGCACAGCCACCAGGTACGTGTGAGGAACCGAGCGTGGATCTGCGGGGCAGGAGGACCTGCTCCTGGGCCAGGCTGGGTTTTGGCAGGCAGTATGAAATGCTAATGTGGACTGAGGCTTGTAGGACAGCTATATATGGATTAAACTCAGAGTTTAAACTCAAAAATGGGTCACTGCAATTATTCAGTCTGGCCTGCTGAGTAATATGGGTCAGAGTGTTTCACTGTAAGGAAAAGAGCAGCTTTTTAGAGGAGACTGGAAGGCAGATTCCTTGTTAGACAAACACTGGAAGTGGCCTTTAGCAGAGGGTTGAGTCATTCGCTCAAGCTGCTGCACCCTTTGCTACCTGGATTTGGTGAATCCCTGGTCTCCCTTTACCTGTCTTTGCGCTGTCTGCTTAGGGTCCTGCAGCTTTTCTCCAAAAGCTGGGAATTTAACATAAGAATCTGCTTGCAGGTTATTGCAGGTAATAATCACATGCTTCTGTAGTAGGGTATGCAGGTAACACCTGTGCAAGTTGTGATAAAGGAGATCTGGGAATGCTGGCTGTTACTAAAAGATTTTATTTTATTCATGTATTTCATGTATTTTATGTATTTTATTTTATTCATGTATTTTATGTATTTTATTCATGTATTTTTAGTTTTAGTTCTTAAGTTTTATTTTATTTTTTATTTTATTTTTGACCTTGAAGCATCCAACTGCAGCAAAAAGCAATGGAGAAAAGAGATTTTATTTGTCCCAATCACAAACTCACACCCTTTGCCCAAGACCATGATTTCCTCCTCATTCCCAGCTGTGATTTTTCTGTATTTAAATTCTATTTTTCTGCTTTTGTTTCCTAGCTTCCTTTCTTCAGGAGTGGTTTTCCCTCTCTCTGGCCCTCCTTGGCTTTCGGCTGCCTTCCTCCACTGCACCGTTCAGCAGCAGTCACCACGTGGAGGAGAGAGGATTGTGCTGCAGAGGCTGGGGACTGACACAGAGCAGGCAAGACTGGACATGTTTGAAATGTTACACTTGAAAACCAGCGGTTTTAACTGAGCAATGGTTGTGCTGAGATACTGCTGAATTCCTGGTAAACCCTGTTGTGAAATCTCGCTGGTGGCTGGTTAATAAAATGTAGCTGTAAATTACTGGTTGCTAAATACTTATCCTAGAGGCAGAGCTGTTCTGAACTTAAACTTTTAGTTCTGATACTGGCTCCCTGGTGAAGCAGGGAGGACAATTTAACAGCTGATGCTGTAGGGATTGAGAGGGAGCAGGGATTGCAGGGAGAGCAGAGATTGCAGGGAGCCCCATCCATGGAGCCAGGATCACCTCTCACTCTGACTCAGGAGCAATCCTTGTGGATTTAGCTCAGACAACTGGCCTGGAAGGTGCAGGAGATGCACAAGGTTTGAGATGGGGGTGCAGCAGTTTCAGGGCTCTGGGAACCCCAGGAACAGCCCTGGGGGTTTTCCCAAGCTGTTCCAGGAAATGCCTGCTCTGTTTCACCATTGCATTGCACGGGAATTCTCCCAAGTGCTCCGCTGAGGAGGAAGCGGGGCTCTGCGATTTGTCTGTGATCTTCCAAGGAACAGCAGGGACCAGAGCTCAGCATGGGGAATGTCCCTGTAGAGACACTCCCAGGGAAATGGTGTTGAAGGGGAAGCTGTGCTTTACTATTTACTCTTAGGTTTTATTGCTCCGGGCAGCTGTTACGGTAGCAGCTCCTCCTGCTGTGGGATTGACTCCTCTGTTTATACTGGTGTGGAGCCAAAAGCTGCTACTCAAACTGGTGTCAGCAAGTTGATACGAGCATTTGGGACCTGTGGAATAACAGCAGCTTTCACCTCAAAAATCCCCCTTGAGGTAGGAGAAGGATGCCAGGAAGGGATGTGGCAGGGATCCAGAAAAGAGTATGTTAGGGCAGGGTTATGATGCGCTTTGGAGAGGGGAGGCTGCACAGCATCTGCTGGTGGCGCAGCGGCTGTGGACCAGCACCAGCTCTCCTCTAGGTTCACATCTGTGGTAGCTCGCTTGGTTTTCCCTGTATTTGGGTGAAGTTGTCATCTGTTGTCTGAGTTGCTTTGAGAACAGTGAATTTAATGGGGAATTTACCCTTAAAAGCAATGAACGATGTCTTCTCCAAACACTGCCTTCATCTGGAAGGTACTGCAGTGCTCGCAGTTCATCCAGGTCCAGGCTGGGCACACACTGGGTGAAATGCTATTTCCTGACTGGGAAGCGCGAGTGCTGAGTCACCGCCGCAGATCTCACTAACGGGCAGTCTCCTTTCCTTTGCAGCTTCTTGTTTCGCTGCTGTTCTTCTCGCTCATGGATCTCGTCTCGGCAAAAATAGCACCAAAGGTAAATGCATCCCCGGGGGAATTCTCATGACACCGAATGCGTCTGATCCGCTTGGTTTGCTGCCTAAACAAAGCTCTGTGAAGGCTGGGAGCTGCCAGAGGAAGGGATCAGCAACATCCCAGACAGAGCCCTTCTGTTCCTATCACATCAAACCTGTATTTTCCTCTGACGTTATCGCCCCTTTCACTACAGTAGCTTTTATTTCTCTTCCTGAACGACTTCCTATTTCCAGTTCCCTGTTCAGACTTTACACCTCCCAGGGAGCACAGAAACCGTGTATCTCTGTTAGCTTTTGTGTATCATTTCACATTTGCTAGATAACGTTTTCCCTCAGGCTGCAAACACACGTGGTGTTTCACAGGAGAAGGGCTGCCCAGCAAGGAGGAACATTCATTTCCAGATGATTTAATGCTGTTAAATGAATGAGCAGACATGACAAGTTTCTCCCTGCAGCTGTCTGCCCTAAGCATCCTCTCACCCAGAAACGCTTCTTTCTGTCCCTTTGCTGTCATCTCAGCTTTGGAGAGCAGCTGTTTGTGCAGTCACCCAACAAATGCAGGTTAAAAATAATCACTTGGTCTCATAGTCTTTTAAAAGAGTCTGGAGGAAGAGTCATTGAGGAGAGAAACACCTTGAGCAAACGGCTCTGAGGGGTTATTCCAAGTGAAATCAGTAATGCAATAAACCCCAAATAAACTAAATCCCAAGATGTGCTGTCACGAGGAAGGTTGGAAGGGAATAAACCTGCTCCAGGGAGCTTTGGTGCAGGAGGAGCAGTGGCTCTGCGCTGAGGGTGATGAGCTGGTGTTCACTGGTATCGCTTCACACTGGCTCACAAACCATTCTCAGCTGAGCCCTGTTGTGGCCTGGTTGGTTTGGCAATGAAGGGGCTGTGCTACTCGAGTGCCTGGGGGGATCCAGGCTGTTAGGGCAGGAGGAAAACCCAGACTAATTAATTTAATGAAGATCCTTCAATAGAGCACTTCATGCAGAGTCTCTTATGGGGGGTTCATTTCTGCTCTGATGCCACTAAAGCCTAAGACAAATGACCTGTCCTTTCTGTCACCCAGGAAGGAGTGGATTTCCGGACGTCTCTGCAGTGGTCCCTGGAGATCTTGCAGTGCCTGGAAGAGAGGGGTGCGTCCTGGCCACTTCTCTTCCATTCGGGAGAGAAAGGTGAGTGAGTCCTGCCTCCAAGGGGTGACAAGGTGAGGTTTGGTGTGAGCTTATCTGTGGGAGAGAACCGATGGGATTTGTAAGCAGCATGAAAAATGTGTTGAGTAAAAGCTGAGAGCATCCTGCTTGTACCCTGCAGTCTGGTGACCCTGCTGATCAGGAACGACTGAAACTTGGTGGTGTTCCTTCTGGTACAGCCTCAGAGGGCACAGCTTGTTTCTCCTGCAAGCACTGGTGTCTGTGTGCTGGAAGGAAACTGCAGCCCCAGTGCTGCAGTAGAAGTGCGTGAGGACAGCTGGAGATGATGCTATGAGTTTCTCTCTGGCCATTGCAGACCCCAAGAAATACCACATCCTGCGCAGCGCAGCCTCGGACCGGCACACCCGGCTCTTGCCCATTGCGTTCTACAGGTGAGGTCCTGCGGGGCTCAGAAGGGAGGTGTTGGGGAGGATGTGGCTGATGGTTTGTGCCTACAGCAGCTGGTGCAGAGGTAACCGTGCTGCTGGTCTGTGGGTGAGCTGAGCTTTAACGTTGGTTGTGCAGGAGGAAATGCTTGACCACGACAGGTTTCCTATTGAAGGAGCCTCATATACTTCACTGGAAGTTTCTCTTCAGCTTTGTGCTCTAAACAGGAGCAGCCCTGCACATAGTGGCATTTGTAAAACGGCAGCAATGGCACTGGCTGCGTTGGCCGTGTGTCTTTGTGTGTTTGAGCCTAGCACAGAGCAGTGCTAACCTGTGCTAACCTGGTGTGTGACCTCCTCCAGCCTCACCCCTCGTTTCCACCAAGAGCTGCTCACCAGGGAGCACTCCTTCCTCTGCGTGGCGCTCGATTTGTACATCCAGCTGCTCCGGCTCTTTGTGGAGGGGAAGGATCTGCCGCAGTTGGGGCAAAGCCCAGAACACCCAGAGCACGTGAGTGAAGTTCAATTTCTTTTTTTCTCGTAACTGTGAATCCTATTCTCTATCCCTTCCCCTGCCCCTTGCAGCATTCCTCTCGGTCCCAGTTTCCTGTACAAAGCAGAGGCAGCTTGTGCCCCCTTGCACCCTGGCCCATGCATCTTCTCCGTGTCGTGCAGGGGGATCCCTTGGAGTTGATCTCCACGGCGCGGCGGTTCCTGCTTGGAGCGATCCCGCGCTGCCCTGCCCAAAGCTTTGGAAACATAGACCCGGTGCGTTGTTTTCCTTTCCCCCAGTGCTGTTTCTGCCTGTGTAGCCTCTCCTGGGCACTGACCCCTGTGCTGGTGCTGCCTGCTTCATCCCTACCACGCGCGGCATTTCCATAGCACGTTTGGGAGTGGCACAGGACGCCTGCTGCTCACTCTGTGCCATAGCCATAGCCTCCCTGTCTCAGCAACGTTAAACACCGCTCTCATGCAATCTCACACCCACTGCTTGCTTAATCCTTGCTCTTGGGGGAAATACCAAGCACAGCGATGGAGCAGGTGTTGAAATTTCCCACAAGCACCGCGTTGTCAGCCAGGAAACCGTGTTATTTCTATGCAAGTCAGCGCAGCCTCCCCTCTCCTTTCCCTCTGCCTTGCAAAACACCCGGGTGTTGCTGCAACTCGCTGTGAGGCAGCAGGAGCAGCGCTAACGCCCATCGCTTGCCCCCTCCTCAGCTCCTGCCCCCATGTGAGGAACTCGACCCGGAGCTGGGAGCGACCCTGCGGCACCGCTCGAGGCCGGCGGTGGCCATGGAGCTGGATGAAGAGCTGGTCCTGTTCTGACACGGGGACAGACATGGTGCTACCTTCCTAGGGCTGCCTCTGCTTTCAAATTACTTTGTAAATAATTTATTACAAGCATAACCATGAAGCTCTTGTTACAGTAAAAAGTAGGTTACAAATTTCAGTTTAGACTTGCTTTGGGAATCATAATTTTTTTTTCCTTTTTTTGTTTTTTAAACAAAACTTCTGCTTAAAGTTGCTCCGCTGTCCTCTGCACCCGTCCAGCCACCCAGGGCGCTTCTGCACAGGCAAGGAGCAGTTGTGGCCAACTCTGTTTCTACAACCGTGTGCGTGGAGAGAAGGGGGGAGCGTGAAGGGGCGCTGCCCAACATCCCTTCCTTCCTCTGGGATTAGACAGACTCTTAGTACAACACTGCCGCATCGGACGTGAGCATGGAGAATCACAGCATGATAACAAGCTTTTTTTTTTTGTCTGAGCAAGCTGAAGCTAATGCCACTGAGTTCTTTGGGACACTAAAATGTAGATTAACCAAAAAATCTCCGCTCTGCCGTATGGTTCCTACAGGACTGGATGGGGAAGGTGTCCCCGTCCGGCTCAGGTCGGCTCCTGCTGTGCAGTCACTTCTGGCTTTACCGCCTGGCTCTCTGCAGTCCCTGAAGTGTTGAGGAGGAGAAGGGGCTCTGGCTCCAGTGGCTTGGCTTTGTCCTGAGTCTGGGTCAGAGGGTGCACCATGGACATATGGACGTTGAGGTTGTGGGCCTTCTCGAAGCGCTTCCCGCACTGGTCGCAGGCGAACTCCAGCTCCGTCTCTGCTTTGTGCTTGGTCATGTGGTACTTGAGCGACGCGCGCTGCCTGCACTGGAACCCGCAGATTTCACACCTGCAAGGCAAAGCGGGGGCTCAGCACCAGCCTGGAGCCACAGCCATGGCCTTTTCTTGTCATGCAGAATATGCCCATGAGAAGGCAACCACAGCCTCAGAGCTGCTGCCACGTATCACAGCATCCCAGGGTATCAAGAGTTGGAAGGGACCTGGAAAGCTCCCCCAGTGCAACCCCTGCCAGAGCAGGATCACCAGAGCAGTCACACAGGAACACGGCCAGGGCTTTGGGTGTCTCCACACAAGGAGACTCCACAACCTCTCTGGGCAGCCTGGGCCATGCTCCATAACCCTCACACTGACAAACTTTGTCCTCATCTTCAGCTTGAACCTGCTGTGCTCCAGCTTGGGACCATTGCCCCTTGTCCTGGCATTGGACATCCCAGAGCAGAGCCTGGCTCCTTCCTCCTGACACTGCCCTTTCCAAATGGATCCCCAGGAATGAGGGCACCCCTCAGGCTCCTCTGCTCCAAGCTCAAGAGCCCCAGCTCCCTCAGCCGCTCCTCAGCAGGAGATGCTCCACTCCCTCCATCATCTTTGTGGCTCTGCTGGACTCTTTCAAGCAGTTCCTGTCCTTCTTGAACTGAGGGCCCAGCACTGGACACAAGATTGCAGATGTGGTGTGAGCAGGGCAGAGCAGAGGGGAGTAGACTCTCCTAAAACCACCCCATCACACAACACTGTATTCAGCTGCTGAACAGCAACAGGAATAGGAAGGGGAAGCTCTGGAGCTGGAGCACACATTGTGGATGGACATTTAAAGTGATTCAGCTCAACTTCACTGCCCCATCTCTCTCTCCGTAGCTACAAGCAGAAGGTTGGTGTGCACTTACTGGAGGGGCTTTGCTCCCGAGTGCCGCATCTGATGGACCGAGAGGTGCTTGCGTTGCTTGAAGGTCTGCCCACACTCATCGCAGATGTAGTTACGTACCTCTGCAGTGGGAAAAGGGAGAGAGTCATTGACTTTGCTGATTTCTTAGGGAGGATCTCATCAATCCTGCTGATTTCTTAGCATGTGAAATGCACACACGCAGCTGCCCATGCTTCTGGGTAGAGGGCAAATCCCTCCCCTTGCCTCACATGCCCGTGTGATGGCTTATTACAGGTTCACAGGCAGTTCTACACCCCACAGCCTGGCCCTGGCACTGTTGCCTTGTGCCATGAATTGCTGGGTGTTGGTCACACCCATCGCCCAGTGTGAGCGAAGCCTGCCAGGACACACCTGTGTGAATGAGCTTCACGTGGCGCTGGAGGTACCGGTCGATCATGAACACCTTGTTGCAGCCAGGGTGAGGACAGGGCCTCTCCCGCACCTCCTCGTGATGCTCTTTGATGTGTTTCTGTAGGGCACGGACAGAGTTTCTAACCATGGGACTGAAAAAGGCTGTGGACTCTCAGCAGGCTGCTTTGGTCTCGCTGCCACTCATCATCAGGGCTCCTCTCCTTTAGAAACCACGCTGCAACGCTCAAAGCTCTGCAGCAGGAGCAAGCCCTGAGCTCACCTTCATGCCGTCCGCGCCGCGGTACACAGCCGTGCATCCCTGGTAAGGACACTTGTAAATGGTAGGCAGCTCCTCCCTGCAAAGAGAGCCCTGTGTCAGCCTGTGTGCGAGCAGGGGCTGCTGATCCACAGCCACCAGCTCCTCCTTACCTTTCACATTTGATTTTCTTTTTCCAGCCTGGCTTAGGCCCCGGCTTCTTCCTGATTCCGGGCTCTTCTGCCTTCTTTGCCTCTTTGCTGTCGCTTTTTTTGCTAGGAACCCTCCAAGAAGGAAGAAGGACAGTGGGTTAATACTCAGCATTGAGTTTAATCCTCTCACTGCTGCTCTGAGGGCCCAGCCTGACCCAGCAGGGCAGGAGCACGAACACCATCAGGTATTCAGGAATTACTGTGGGGCATGGGGAAGAGGAAGCCCCTTACTTCTTTTCGGGGTAAGGCTCGAAGGAGTCATCTGAAGATTGCACATTTCTCTTCTCGTTCTCATCATCGCTCAAGAAATCCCTGTGAGAGAGAAGAGCCCCGTTACCACACAGCAGCAGCAGCAACGCATGCTCCTCGCTCCCGTCTTCCCCAGCAAACATGGCCCCGGTGAACACAGAAAATCCCAAAATCAGGTCCTTTTAGGAGTAAATTGCTGTGAGAATGACTGAGAACAAAAACTGGCTGTTACTGGAAAGAGCTATTGCTTGTTGAGGGATGCTGCCACCGATTTCTATACCAGGAAAAGTAACTTTGCAGAGCAAGAACTATAACTGAGCTGGAGGTCATCCTCTATTTCCTCATACACAGCAGCCATGTAGGTTTCGGTTTTGTTTTATCCTTGTAAGTCCTTAGCAATTAATTCGGATTAATTAAGCCAGGAAACGGGCAATAAATTGTGGCACCTTTAACGTGACAGCTGCCAGATTGAGCTGACACACTGAAATAATTCTGTGCTTGGTCATTTGGTACTCGAGAATCTGAATGACTGCCCTCAGTTACCAGTTATTTACAACCCTCACCTTAAATACCTGCGTTGGAAGGGTTTAACCAAATCTTTGATGATAAAGGCTGCTATGACTCCAGTGACCCTCCCGCTCCCGTCAGCAAAGGGGGTGATTCCTCAGTGCCCCCTGTGCCTGTGTCCCCACGTCCGCAGCCCCAACCACTGCGGAGGGGAACTGCTCCGAAGCCAAGGGGCTGCAGTGGCTCCCAGACCCCAGCAAAAGCCCCCGCACCACCCCCTGCACAGCTCCTCCCACAAAGGAAGGGAAAAGGAACCCCCCCTGCAGCAGAGGCGGTGGGGAAGGGAGCTCAGCGCCTCGGCCGCCAGCTCCCGTGTCACTTGTGGGGAAAGAGCTCCCCACGTTGGATCATTTCACACTCGCAAAGAAGACATTTAGGCTGTTTGAAACCCACTCTTCTCTCACCCCTCAGAAAGGTCACTGAACTCGTCTTTTACCCGCACATCCGACGCTGCAGACAGAACCTGCTTCCCACTCAACTGTCCTGGGGAATGAAGGAGAACACGGTGCGTTACAAGGAAAAGCAGCAAAAACCCAGCCAGTGGAGACCCAGCCACTCTGGGTTCACTCCTGGTGCCTCAGACCACGGGAAAACGAGCGCTCTGTGTTTATTTAAACCAAATTCTGCATCTCATATGCTTGGAGACCACTCCTTGTGCCACCAGCCTTTACCCTGGAGCTCCCACGAGCAGTTTTTGGTTTACACCCGCTCTGTAACTGAAAGACTCATCCCCAGCTGTGGACATCTCCTGTGCTGTCACAAACACAGCCTGACCTCTGGAACTCAAAAACGGGTGTTAATCCCCAAACGCCGCTTCCAGATGAGAGTTCAGCAGCAAACCCACATTAACTCAGCCCATGGCAGCTTCCCTTTGTTAACAGATGGGGCTCCTGGTATTGAGGAAACCCCTCTTGGCCAGGGTTTGGGTTGAGGAGAAATAAAACAGCTGGCAAATGTGGTGCTGGAGAGCAGAGACCGTCCTGGGATGCCTGATGGGTGCACGATCCCTGGCAGGAGCAGGGCAGCAGGAGCAGCCAGGGCTCACCTCTATCAGAGGGGAACCAGCACCTGGGGTGACGACCCCAGCTCTTTTGACACCTGAGCCTGCATTTCCCCTTTCCTTCCCGCATGGCTCAACATCCCCAGACAGAGACAGGAGCAGCCAGGGCTCACCTCTATCAGAGGAGAACCAGCACCCGGGGCGAGGACCCCGGCTCTTTTTGACCCCTGAGCCTGCATTTCCCCTTTCCCTCCCGCAAGGCTCAACATCTCCAGTCAGAGGGGGTTCTCTGGGCAACCTGCCCTCCCCGGATGGGGTCTGCATCCTCCCCACCATCACTCCTGGTGCCATTTCTCCAGCTCCATGCCCTTCCCCAAAGGCCTGGGGGGTTCAGGAAGCGAAGCCCTTACCTGCAGCGCTGCTCAGGGGTGACGTGGGCTGTGGCAGAGCTTTCTCCTGTGAGGAGGTTGTACCATCCAGCTTCGGCTGAGCCGAGTCCCTGCTCTGCAGCGGCTCGCTCTCCGCGTCCGGCAGCGCCGAGGAGCTCCCTTTGTTTGCGGGCTGCTGGCAAGGAGTCGTCCTTCCCGGAGCATGCTGGGCTTTGGGAGCAGAAACAGCCTCGGCATTGTCCGCCCCGGCCCTGTTGTCGGGCAGGCGCTGTGCCGCGCTCCTGCTCCACTCCCGCTTGACGGCCAAGGCGTTGTCGACCAGCACCGTGCTACAGTCCGAATCCGTGTCCATCACGTAGTCGTGCCCGTCCCCGCAGCCCCAGACGGCGCGGATGATGCCGCAGTACTCGGAGGAGAGGACGCTCTGCAGGCCGGGCGCCGACGCGCAGCTCCCGGCGTGGGTGTGCGCCCAGGTCACCAGGCTGTGCAGGCACTGCGGGCTGCAGGTGATCAGGTCGACTGCGGGGGGAGAGGGGCACGGTCAGACCCTGGGGATGGCGCAGGGAGGGACAGCAAAGGATGTGCCACCTCCAGGGGAGGGACAGGGACCTGCTCCTGCGTCAGAAGGCAGCTGGGAGACACTGCAGGCTGATCGGCTGGGGCAGCG